CTCATCTGTAAAACTCTCCGCTTCGGACATATCGGCAAACAGCTGTCTCAATTGCTGCAAATGAAAGACGTACAAACTGGGGATGTAAGTCTTCTGTAAAAAAGTGAAAAAGGGAGTTTTTTATTTCCTCACGAGACGCTTCCACAAAACGCGGGGCACGCACGGCACAACGCCGGGTAAAACTGACGGACAGACTCGTGGCATGTTAAAATATTCATTGGGAGTGAATACAAACCAATTCTTTAGAGTCATGGCCTGTTGGAGAAGAAGAGCGCTACCACTTCTCCAGCTATAAACAAAGTTTCCCGATGCGGGCATGGACCGGTCCCTTAATTGCTTCCTGTTTCCCTCATCGGCACATCGTAATTCTCGCTGTGCATACTTGACGGCCGCAACTATACTAAATGACACGTACCCGGTTTGTTCCATCATCGCAAGCAGGCCGGAAGTGTCCTGAGTGGAAAGCAGCTTTTCAAGCGAAAAAAGGTTGTCTGCAGCAGCCGCAGCACCACTACTCATCAATTCAGCGGTCCGATGTACACGCCCAACAAGATTCCGATGCTTTAAGAATGGCTTCAGGGCAACCTCATCCCCAAAGTCCTCCTCCAACTCTTTTGCATCGCAAAGCACACGGAAGATAAGCTCAATGTAGTAACTGAGCTGCGACGACAACACCTGCAGGTCCCACTGGGAATGCATTTCGCGGACATCACGTCGGAAGGCTTCAAGTACCATGTCTGTCGTCAATGTACTCAACGAATTACGACAAACCATGACTTCCTCTTCACTATCACCCGGGTTTTCCCGAATAACCGCCTCGGTCGCTGCATCAATGAGATCTAGCACATCACGCAGGCAAACACTTCTCCCCAGCAACGCTGTCAACCGCGCAAACGTACTATCCACATCAAGCTTCACCAGTAATCGCTTTAACGCCACCATCTCCGCATTATTACCGTCATCCTTTTGCTGAGCACCGTAGTTGGAGAGTGTCGTAGAGAGCGCTGCCGTAAGTATCTCTCGCATCTCATCCGGGTTTTGCAACGGGGTTTGACTGACATCCCAGTCGTGGTATGTCGTGTCTGGATAAAAGCCGCCCGGCTTCATCAAACAAGAGGACAAAAAAGGAAAATACGAGACAAGAATGACTTTTATAAGATAATCTGCATTACGCACAATCTTTTCAATCTGCACAAAAAGAGCATTGAGCATGGCAAGAAGCTCGGGCTGCTGGATAAGGGCAATGGCCTCGTCATAAGAAACCGTGGGCGATGCAAGTCCTTCGGCTTGCAGTTTCATCACTCTTACCGTGGCGGCATCCAAGCTTCCCGCAATACTCGTTGATTTAACCGCACGTTGTCTCCATGCCCCATAGAGACGAAAAAAGTGGGCTATGGTCTGTTCAATGCTACGTGTCGCCTTTGAAAAAAAGGTCTCATAGCAGCAATTCAGTTTTCCCAGCTCCTGCAGTGTTTTCACACATAGAGGAATAAATCGCAGGTAGTTCCTTGTTACATCATCACCATCATTGTCGTACGGATCGTCATCGATGCTGTTGATAACATCTGAAAAGCCCAATGTGGTTTTATCCGCCTTTATGTCGCTATAATGACTTTTTTCATGAAGTGCTACAAGCGCATCTATTGCTCCGACCGTCTTTTCAGACGCACCATCAACTAACATGTGACCCACCAACTGCGCGTCTGCCTCAT